ATCAGTGCTGCCTCTAGTTGAAGAAAATCCAGTTTGAAGAGCCAGCCTGATATGTATATGTATTCTGGAGGAACGGCCATTATCAAAAGAAAATATAGATCCTGTCCTCATGGTTTCCAGGGGCCACTTGAGGTAGGCTGTCGTATAGCTGCTCTGAGGGGGCTGAGAATTTGCCTGAGGAAAAATTTCAGAGCCCAGATGTTGCCTTAACTGGAGTATTTTGCCATTTTCATTTGCAAAGACAAGATTTCTATGAGTTGTCCTTTCTTCTGATACTTAACTCTTAATGTAACTAATTTGTGTCGCTGTGATTTCACAGATAAAATGTGAGAAATCTGTTTTTCTCTCTGCAGCATCCCCCTCCTTTCTGGCTTTGTTTGTGTTCCCTGCCCCTCTCCCCTGCCAGTTCCAGTAATCCAAGCGTTTATATGGCTCATTAAGCGCATTACACTCTCTGCAATGCCGGATGTAATCAGGTTCAGAATCTTCCCTCATTGCACTCTAAGGACAGAGGGATGGGGCCTCTTGCTCAAGACCCAGTGGAGGCAATGTGGACTGGCAAGTTGAGAGAGAGTGAAAGGCTTCTGAGAGAGGCACAGCTGTGGCCAGGAATTCAAACCCGGTCATCCCCCTGTAGCATGAAGGCTGGCAAGACTTCAGGGTGCCAGGGTTCCAGGTGGGCCTTCAAATGGCTGCATCCACCCGATAAAGCTTACATATACTTAGAGCAAGCTGCTTTTCAATAACACAGGGTTAAGGGTAATAGGTTTTGGAGATCTGTCTCTTACCCTATTTTCCTTTTTTTTTTTTTCTAATTCAGAACATAGACTTAGAAAGCTGAAAGAACGATGGGAGTACATCTTGTTCTGTTCTTATATTTTACAGACAACCATGGAACAGAGAGAGTCATAGTTTGTCTGTAGCAGAGTGAGGGCGAGAACCCAGTTTTCCTTGCTCATAGTGTTGGTCTCTTCTCTACATTATGCTGCCTTTCCAGTCCTGCAGTTGCCCAGGGCTAAGGAAAACACACAGGCTAAAATGCATCATTGAGTTGGCACATTGCCTGTGTGACCTATCTTGTCTGTGTGGCTTTTGAAGAGGTGGCAACAGGTGTGCAAGAAACAAACCTCTCATATCAATGTCAACCTCTGATTCATCATTGAGCATCTCCCACCTACCTATGTTGTCTTTCACAGTTTGCCTAATCAGTTCCTGTTTTAACCCACTCACCAACCCATTGTCTCTATAGTCAGTCTTCTGTATTCTTTTGAGATTGCTTTTATTCCATTTTTCTTTGTTCTTTGCATGTAAGTAGGGAATATATGAAAGATGTGTTTGAGAGGTCTATTATGAGTGTGTGTTGTGATGTTTTCACAAGGCAGAGTCAAAAGGGTCTCCAAAAAAGAAACTTACAATCTTTGAGAGCAAACACCAATGCATGCCTGTGAATGTGGTGTGTGTTGGGGGCAGGGGGGTGAGGGGGTGGGAAGGGGTGTTTGGGAAACATGTATATATGGGTTATAAATGTAAAAATTTTCCATTAAAAGAATGGGCTCAGATTTAGATACAAGAGGGGAAATGTTGGCATGGGAAGGCTAAATGTTGATATGGGGTTTAAGCCAGAAGGTCATCCACCAAAAATCCATGATAGGTTGCCAAGTATTGTGAGTTGAAATGAAATAGTAGAAAAAGGTCAGACACTAGAAGGGTACATAGGCTTAAGTCCCAGTTCAAGCACTTATAAGCCAGAATGAGTTGAGTAATCTGCCTAACGTCTCAAATTCCTCCTCTGTAAAATTGGGATAAATATACTACTTACTTCCTAGTGTCGTTAAACAAGATAAAGCATGTAGGACACTTAGTCTAGTGGCCCTGTATGTAGTAAGTGGTTAGTAATACTTAGACACAATTATGGGGGCATTGAGGACTAGAAAGAACAACCATGGACAGGAGTAAGGATTGGTCAACTGGGTGATATCACCCTACTCCTGTGTTGAAGCCATTGCCACTCAGGCATAGTATCAGAGAGTTACTTTTTGTGGTGACCATGGAAGACACCTTATTCAAATGCTTTCACTGAAGAAAAAACCCAGTACACACTGAGATTGACTTTCCCAAAGCCATTTAGTCAGTGAGCAGCAGAACCTGGCCTCAAAGAGGCTCTGAGACTCATAGACCCTACTGTCACATGTCATTCCTGACAGCTGAACTCCTCCTGTTCCTGGTATCACCAACACAACCTTCCAATCTCTGCAAACATTTATTCATTCATTCAACAAAAACTTCCTAACCAGCTACTATGTTCATTTCTAAGGATCAAACCAGACATGGTTCCTATGTTCATGGAACACACAACCCAAAGAAAAAAAAACTTTAATAAAACAAACGAAATAAATGAAACAAATATAACATTGCAACTAGAAAGTGAGGTCAATAGAGACAAGGTGTCTATCTGTTGTGTCATTGCTGTATCCTCATCACTTAGAACAGCAAGGCTCATCGTAGGTCCTGATGCATATTTGTTGAATGAGTGCTAGTGCATGCACTATGTGAGTGCAGCATTCTAAGTATTATATTAGAAGGCATATAATGGGGGAACTGACCTACTCATAGAGGTCAGGGAAACTTCCTTCAGGAAGAGATGCTGAAAGGTGAGTGCACATGAGCCAGGTGAAGCAACAGAAGATGAATTATGGAGTTTGATGGTACTGTAGTAAAAGAGGACAGGAGAATTTGGAGAAAAGGAAATCACAAGTCCAGTTGTGCAATAATTCTGGCAGCTGTTTTAAGGGGAGCAGTGATAAGATGGGCTATATCACAGAAAGCTTTAGCAAATACCAGTAGTACCACACTAGCTTGTGTTTATACAACAGTTTTCAGTTTGTCATAACACTGTGTTGATCATTATCTTATTGATAATTCACAATGACAGTCAGCAGGTCAGGAAATGGTATCCCAACTTTAGCCGAGTAAACTGAGGTCTGTAGTCTTTGTGTGCTGTCCAAGTCACACATCTAAACATAGCATTTATGGGACACTCTCCATATAAATGACCGTATTTAGTCCCCTCACCAGCCTTTTAAAGCAGGTATTAATATCCTAATATCATACATGAGGAAAGTAAGGCTCAGTAAGGTTAAATAGCTGGGATGTGGCCGACCGAGTTGGGATAAGAAGCTATGTCATTCCTATGGACTGGATTTTGTCCCTCTCAAATTCATGTTGAAGCCTTAACCCACAATGTGTATTTGGAGATGGGGACTATAAGGAAATAATTAATGTTCACTGAGATTATAAGTGTAGGGCCCTGATTCAATAGGATTAGTGTCCTATAAGACACACCAGAGAGTGATCTATTTCTCTCTCTCTCTCTCTCTCTCTCTCTCTCTCTCTCTCT